GATGTTCCTTCCCCTCTTTGAAGCCTGAAGTCAACTAAAGTGCTAACGATAACCGTCAAGACGCCTGCCATTTGATACAAATAAATGATTGGTCAGTGTTTGTACGGTCGCTGCACACAGAGCTGTACGGCCGCACCTCCCAATCCTGACGAGCAGACATGCAGGCATATGATGACTCACAACGCGATAACGTGTCCCACAAAATGGATGCTGAAGTGCGTTTTTGGTCCTTCAGGGACATGGGACACTGAATTTGTTGGTATAGGACAAAACATGCATGGTGGGCGTTTCAGCACCCAAACTCGTCTAAAGCTGGAAGAATGAAAGTCCTAATTCAAATATGGGAAAACATTTAGTGGCTATTATCTTGCGGTCACTAGACACCGAAGTGTGATTGAAAATCAAAATTTTGTTCCAACTTAACTAGATGGTACGAACAACGTCGACTGAAATTGATTGGGCACTGTAATAATCTCCATCACTTTAATCACCTGGCCAGTTGTTACCCCATATTTTTTAATTATTTCAAATGGCAGGCATTTTGATAGTTATCATTTACCTTTTAATTGACTTCAGGCGTAACAGAGGAGAAGGAACATCAAAGTGACAAAATTCGAAGGGGGGGGGGGCGTGATTCACGGACGTAAAAGAGACAGTCAAAAGGTAGAAAAAGGTGAGGTAAGCACTGTGGAAGTAGTGGAATACGACATATAATGGGGTGATGGTGGTTTGAAATGAGAAGTCAACAGCCAGTTAATAGACTTTTTTGTACCAGGCTGCACCAAGTGGAGGTAAGTCTATCGCACACCCCGGTGCGGCCTTACAACTCTGTGTGCAGCGACTGTACAAACAGTGATCATAATCAACCTCTGTTTAACCTAATCCCCCATCCTGATCATGATTAGGCCTTCTACGTGTACACTTTTATCCGCAATATCCGTACTGAATAAATTGTGTGTACACACTTGATCCGCAATATACGTCCTGAATAAGCGGGTACACTTGATCCGCAATATACGTCCTGAATAAACGTGTACACGTCTGTTTCCTTGATAGCTGGGCTATAGCTTAGCTAGTTCTGGGAGTCCAGCTAGATGTTGAAGTCATTCAGGCTTTACTAAGGTAGCAATCCGCTACAATTTTACAATTTTAATTTGCTTCCAAAAAGCGAATTATGCTTATGCAATTAATTTTTGGCAATGATTGGACTTTTCATCTCACTATTCCAAATGCTACAAAAGCGTACAGATCAAGGCTTGTTCAATTCATTTATTATTTACTTATACATCAAACGTCCGATTCTTCTTCCTAAATGAGATGATTTGATGCATATTTTCTAAAATTTGTCCACTTTTTCCAACAATTGCGTGAACACTCTTTCATGTAAATCACAGAGAAAACATTTTTATCTAAGAATAGGCATTTTATTGATTTTTTACGAATTTTGAATTTCTGGAATTCTTTGCATGGAATTAGGTTTCTTTCCAGCCATTTGCCATAAGTAGATGTCATGTTTATTTGGCTTTAGAAGCAATGTCATTTCAGTTTCAAGGAGTGTCTACAAACAAAAATGAAATAGAGTCACCAAAATTAATCAAATAAAGTGAGGTTTGATTGATGCGTATAATATTACTCAAAAGTCTGTTACTTTACTATCGGCGTCAACTCTGTGCATGTATCGACTTGTGCTCAATTACCATCATGATACTTGAACAAAATAATTTATTTATATATACCAAATGACAGGCGTCTTGATGGTTATCATTGGCCCTTTAGTTGACTTCAGGCTTCACAGAGGGGAAGGAACATCAAAGAGAAAATGTCGAGATGGTGGGGAGGGGGGAACAGAAGAGTGATTCAAAGATGTAAAAGAGACAAACACAAAGGTAGGAAAAAGGTGATGTGAGTACTGTGAAAGCAGTCGAATATGACATACAGTGAGGTGTTCTGGTAGTTTGAAGTGAGAAGTCAACTGCCAATTAATAGACTTTTTTGCCGTATGAGTATACGTTGCCCAGGGTGCACCACGTGGAGGTAAGTCTATCTCACACCCCTGAACAAAATCATGAAATTCACAAATTGTAATTGTTTCTGCTACAACGGTTTAGAAACAAATGTTATTGTGAAAAAGTGGAATATTTTACAAAGATTTATTTATAACTTTACGCTTCATTATTCGCATTATCAGTCATAGTGATAATGAAGACTTCTACATTTCTGCATAAACCGTGCCCATATGTTCAATTAAATTTGCAGATTGGTAAGTGATGGTTTACAGGGATATGATGAAACACCTGATAACATTCTGATTGGCACGATTAAGTATGTCAATTGGCGAAGCTAAATGCTTACTTTGATTATTACGACCGTTGAATTCGTTATAAACAGATTCAGTTTTTTTCATTTCCATTTTTTATTTACCTTCAATATTTTTATATTTGCATGGCAGAGGCCGTGGAGTAGATACTATCTATACGAAGCACTAGGCCAATCTATGTGAGAGGCGAATAAAGCGAATTTGATGGGTAAAAGTTCCTAAATACTGCGATTGGTAAAATGGCTAAATGAGAGACCAGTAATGAGATTAAAATTAATCCGAAATAGATGAAAAAATGCAATTTTTTCCTAAAGTGGGCTCATATTCTTTATGTTTTGTGTGCGATAAACTTACCTCCACGTGGTGCACACTGGGCAACGTATACTCACACCTTACCTCCACGTGGTGCACCCTGGGCAACGTATTCTCATTCGGCTACCTCCACGTGGTGCACCCTGGGCAATGTATACTCATACACCTCCACGTGGTGCACCCTGGGCAACGTATACTCACGATAGACTTACCTCCAGGTGGTGCACCCTGGACAACGTATACTCAAACGGCACGTGGTGCACCCTGGGCAACGTATACTCATACGGCTCCACGTGGTGCACCCTGGGCAACGTTTACTCATACGGCTCCACGTGGTGCACCCTGGGCAACGTATACTCATAAGGCACCACGTGGTGCACCCTGGGCAACGTGTACTCATACGGCAAGTAAGTCTATCACGTGGTGCACCCTGGGCAACGTATACTCATACGGCAAACAAACGTGGTGCACACTGGGCAACGTATACTCATACGGCAAAAGTCTATTAACTGGCAGTTAATTTCTGACTTCAAACTACCATGACCCCACTGTATGGCTTATTCTACCACTTCCACTTCTCTGCCTTTGTGTCTGTCTATCTATCTTGAACCACTTTTCTGTTTCCCTTCTACAATTTTTCTCACTTTGATGTTCCTCCTCCATTCTGTGAAGCCCGAAGTCAGCTAAAGGGCTATTGCTAACCATCATAAAACCTACCGTTTGAAATAAATAAAAACTCTGTGATTATTTACCGACATGATTAGTCGTCGACCGTCCAAATATTTAATATTTTTTTCATATTAATTATTGGATTTGTAGAAGAGCTTCACTCACAAGAGTTTTACCCAATACGATAACTACCTAGGTTATCCTATAAGTTCTTAAGTCAAATGTAAAATCTAAAATTACTAGACCTAAGTAATTAAGTTTGTGTCATTCCACATGCGCGCATTCATTAAAGTACTGAGAGAGTGAAATCTGTAGCAATTCGCTACTTAGTCTTTAACTTACAGGGGAGCCTGCGTTCTGATTACTTTGATTGAGATGTGTTTCGTAATTTGGCTGGTGTTTTTGAAAGGAATATTTAGCTGCCAATCGTGGCTTCAAAGATGCTAAAACGGTTCAAAATAGGCAATTAATTGAATATCGTTCCGTTATTGAAATGGATAGCGATTTTGAAAATTTCTCACATTCAGAGGTAGAGGAATTAAGTTGGTCGCGCACGTCTGAAGTAATTTTCAATTATATATGATGGAAAGTTAATGCGATATATAATGAAAAATCTGAAGAAATAATTTAAAACAACGAACTTATATCATAATGCATACATTTATCAACAAGAGGCAATTTGCTATGCGCCGAAGTAGCATCCGCTCCAAGTAAATCTTCTTTATTGCCGAAGTATTTCAATGGATTCGTTATAAATTCTGGCATTTGGGGGTCTTTCAGCTTCTCTGGCGACTTCATTTCAAGTGACTAAAAGATTCTGTTGAAATTGAGCATTGATGTGTCAAAGTAATTAATTAAACTAAAGTAGAGATACGAACAAAGTAGGGACCGTATTTCGGGTGCTCCAGGTTATCGGCATAAAGGAAAGGCATATTTCCAAGAGTTCTTGGCTGACGTCTCATTGGCTTCTCAAGGCGAATTTCTTGATATTTCTCCCCTTAATTTGTACAGAATATCAATTACAATTTTAGTCGAAACTGAGATTCGCCTAAGTAGAACCTAACTTTACCGTGTACCAATAACAAAAAACGTTGGTGCAAAGTTTATCTGAATGACAAATAATATTGTTTAAATTAACATCTATAGATTAGTATTAATGGAGTTTAGCTTTCAAGCCACCAAGTCTACTCCCAGTAGGGTTCACTTAAATGTACTTTATAAGTTCCCATTGATTTATGGCATTAGCAGCAACTACAAGTGAATTAGCTAAATATAGATAGGAATCGTTGTATATGCAATTGTGACCTAACTGCCTGATACGGAAACATTGGGATTGCAACTAGACTACACTTTTCAATAGTATAGCCAAGGTTAAAGCAGAACGAAGTGAATTCCGACGATTAATTAAATGTACAAATAACCATTCACGCTGCTCTGCTTATTGTAGAACAGACCATGACCGATTGACCATACTTTTATCTCTTCTCTCTTCTTCTACACGGACTCTGAAAATCCGACGAAATCCGAATCCAGTTTATTAAAAATGGGCTTACAAATGGCAGACAGGATGTTTGCAAGCTGTGACACGGTAAACCTCGTGGCAGTCTGATTAATTTCACTCAACGATTTCTTCCATATTTTTATCTTCCGATTAAGGGAAACACCGATAAACATGACTCAATGTCGATGATTCTATACTTTGTCCTGGAATTAGCGATTCTATGTTAAGAATCATTCCTATCAGCATGTGAGTCTCACTGCTTCAGAAAACTTGACATTCTGAACAGTGAATTGACAAGCATCTGTATTTTAATAAATAAATTTGACAGATTAATGAAGCGTCATATTAATACGTTTTCGCGTTCACCATTCCTCTCAACTCTTTCTGTGAGTTAACCTTTGACCTATTGAGTATTAAGAACTCCACTCGAAACACATTTTATGAGCTTCAGTTTTAGGAATTTTAAGAGCTTGGGATGATGTTAAAAGACATTTCCAACCACGAAAAAGACCAATGAAGTTACCAAGAACACTATTATTCCACACTTCTAGTCTGGTCTTTATGTTGTCAGGATCGTCATCAGATTGGATTTTCCCGTCTCCTAGTATAGCTTTAATTCCGAAACTGAGGTCATGTCCAGGAAGATTAGAGAATGGCTAGAGAATAATAGAGACAATAATAGACGATAATCGAGTTATTATTTTAGGATATATTATAAAGCAACATACATCGTCGTCTTCCGGTTCATGATGCACATTTTGAGAATCGTCTTCACCGTGTTTTCCTTCAGAAGAGGAGGTTTTCATCTCTTGACTGACCATTGAACCAGTTGTCATATCTCTCGTGTAAGCGTCCAATTTCCACCGCTCAGGCTTTCACATTAAATAAAAAAAATATAAAACACAACGTCAAAGCACTTGCAGTAGCTTCTGGCGTTGATATATTAGCAGTAGTGGCAATATGACAGTTCCTAACTATTTAATGGTTTTAAATTCGAATTTAAACGTGCCTAGTTTACCTGACCAAAGACACCAAGTCGATGACCTTCCATACTCCAGACACAAGCAGAGAAATCAGAGCTACTTGTAGCGATCACGGTTCGTTTGTCAGATCGAACGCAGAACACTAGGCCGGTGATCTGATCAGAGTGTGCGACCCATTGTGATATTATTGCTAAACCGATAATATGAGTGCTAGTTGCAGAAATCCACTTTTTATAATATAAACATTAGAACTTAATTACGTGGAGAGTACATGCATTCCTCTTCACCATTAACTAGGGCGTAGCTGGAGATATCCCACAACTTAACGTTGCCTTCGACGTCTGCTGTAGCAAGCGTCTCGTTTGACGGATCAACGGCCATTATAAGCCCTCTTACTGAAATTTTATTGATTGATCTCAAATAAAGTTCATAAATTACCCCTTGGATGAGCAACAAATGCGCCGATAAGAATGCATTCATAGGCATTCCAGAAATGAATCAATCCGTTTCCACCACAGGAAACCAGGTTCGCTCCTTTTCTATTACCCGGCTTGATCATCGTTCGAGCATCAAGTAATAACACTTGCGAAATCTTGGTTTGCATGTCAGTGAACTGAAAATAAATTGGACAGTAAAGTACTTAAAACTTGTAAGTAGATTACAAAAGAAAACAATATAAGCCTACCTTATCTGCGGAGTTGCTACTGGGCAGATTCATACGCCGAGAGACTGATTCAGTATTAATACTCCAAATGATCAGCTCACCATCATATGAGCCAGTAATAAGGCCGTGGGGCGGAAGAGAACACCCGGCCATCACATCGTCTTTGTGTTGCTATTACATGTTGTTTAGAGCACTTATTTAACATCGAGTTGGCTATTAATTCTCGAGGATACTCACCGAGGAGGATTTCCAACCAGAGGGAAACACGAAATGATCATTAAAGTTAGTCATCCTGAAGACAATGAAATGCTTTCCACCTCCTATGACAATAACTCCTCGCTTAAGGACTACTATTCCAGAGACGTCAAGAAAAGCATTCTGTTTGCATACTAGAGTGTGGAGGCAATGTCCATTCATGTCCCAAACCTTTGGCAAATCACAATATTTTTTTAATAAAGAGGGGGTATCAAAGAGAATTGAAAGTAGATGGCTTCGTACCTTCACATTTCCATTGGTACTGCCAGTGTATAAGCGAGAAGATGCCTCATCCTGCACTAAGCAGGTTATTTCGGCATCTCCATGACACTTAGGCACACTCTTGATGTGTTTTCCGCTTTCAATCATCCAAAAGGACATTTTGCCGCGTTGTCCTATGGTTATTATCTGTCGAAAATTTATATAATAATAAAATCAGACTTCTATGTTAATATATGTACTTATTTGAATTGCTATTTTCATTTTATCTAACTCAGTGGTGTGAATTGGATGATTTGAGATGAGCAGTTTAAGAGCTATGTTTTTGATGTAGATAGAAACTTAAGCTTATTTCACCAAATAACAAGCATTGCTAAAAGTTAAATGAAAATATAACAGAAATTATAAAATATCGAATATATGGTAATGTTTAAGTTTTAAACTCAATACATTAAGCTAAAAACCAAAATGGTTTTTAGACTTAAGCAGATTCACCTTAACGGGTACAAAGATTGGACACCCGAAGATGTCGATCATTTGAAACTGTTTGAGCTAACCTCATTTTAACGTCTTCTATTTGGGGTTTATTATGCGTCAGTCTCACGCACAAAACCCTCTTTAATTTTTCCAAAACAAAACTAAATTCAGACTCTGAACTAGTCGACGATCCCCTTTCATCAACCACATCTGCCTTGCCACTCATTTACCGATCTCGAGCGTCTCTTAGTAAATATTGGTGGTTGAACAATGATGTTTGTGTCATTTAAGAAATCAAATGAACTTCTGCATTCTGAGAACTATCTCTTTCTCAATACCAGTTAGCAAGGCTATTATAAAGTGAAGTTTAACGGACGCGGGTCAGTGGAGTATTGAAACCTTATACGTTAGGTATATCGGAGGTCGCGCACACTCAGTGAGTGGAAGGGCATTGGTTACGTTTGGCTAATATGGGGTGTGCAATAGACTTACCTCCACGTGGTGCACCCTGGGCAACGTATACTCATATGGCAAAAAAAGCCTATTAACTGGGTGTTGACTTCTCACTTCAAACTACCATCACCCCATTGTACGTTAAATTCCACAGTACTCACCTCACCTTTTTTCTAATTTCTGACTTTAAACTACCATCACCCCACTGTATGTCATAAACCCCTTCTACAGTACTCATCTTACCTTTTCTCTGCCTTTATACTACTTCCACAGTACTCACCTCACCTTTTTTTCTACCTTATCTACCTTCGCCTTTGAAGCACTCTTCTGTTCTCCCCCACCCTCTCGACTTTTTCCACTTTGATGTTGCTTCCCCTCTCTGTGAAGCCTGAAGTCAACTAAAGGGCTAATAATAACCATCTAAACGTCTGCCATTTGATATAAATAAATGTTTGTCTAATATAGAGAGTGGTAGAATTTGAATCTCTCATCAGATAGGCTCCAAGGAAAATCTTTTCTTAAATAAGCTTGAGAATCAATCAATATAAGGCGATAATTGGATATTTTGGCGGAACAGCATGGAGGGAACAGTTTTAGTTTACCTGGTTATAGACAGGATTATAAACCACACCCACAACTGGGGCAATATGAGTAATGGAGCTATGTTTATTGTCTGGTTTCATCTCCATAACCGTCAGGATTCCATTGAAAGCAATGAAAAGTCGGCTTTTGTCTTCATGAAAGAGAGTGTTATAGCAGACTAAAATCTATTTTTGATTTGATTTTTAACCTACTTTGAGTTCGTAATGTGTTCATAGAAACTAAAATTGAAATCGAGGAAAGAATTCATTGAATATCGGTTATAATATGGTTTGCTTGCCTTCAATCTTTTTAGGATAAATTCCATTAAGTTTTTGGATGCAGACTTGTAGCTGCAAATCCCAAACTCGGAGTTCACTTCCTTTTGAAAAACTGATTAGTCTGGGGCGATCTTTCTGAAAGTGAACTGCAATCACTGGAGTGGTATGCCCTCGGAGGATCTAGAAATTGAAAGAAGTAAACGCAGTTATCATGGAAAGATCTGTGGGACACGCTATCGCTCTGTGCGTCATCGTATGCCT